TGGATGCTTTTCTTGAATTGCGCACAACAAATAAGAGTAAGAGCACCACAGGCCTCACACTTGTTTCTTGACTTAAATTTTTCACCATGCTTTTGTTAAAAAAGGTCGGGTTGGCACATGTTGTATCCGTGTAATTGCGACTATCCAGCAACTATCATGCTAAGGAAGGCCCTCGAGGAATCCTAGGGACAGTGAAAGTGTGAAATGAAAACTCTGAATGTTAACAGACAGAAAATGTAATAAGTTGGATAATTAATGACTTTCGCATGTGTATGAATATGACTTTGTGGCAAGATTGATTATCATATTACCCTTGCTTGTACTGTTTGATGTGATTGTGAATGTATGCTTGATAATGAGAATAGAGACTCACCTTTACATGAACCTTTCACAGAACCAAGATGACAACACCCAGAGAGAGTATTAGGCTCATAGATAGCTTTATACAGTGTAGGTTAAATTATGTATTTAACGAGTACCATAGATTTTACTATTTTAAATTGGCCTTACATGTTGATAATGTACCTTATAACATTATTATGCTAGAAATAGAACTGTCCTATAGTGTACCTTTTGATTTCTCTGTAAACAATAGAATCTACCATACCATGTGTATATACCTCTATCAAGGCACAGTTAGAACCCCAACAGCTGTGACTTACCTGTTCACATATCATGATCATGATCACCTCGGAAGACCAACTCAATGGACTTTTGAGCGAATTACTAGAAGGCAGGCAGGCCACTACAAATTCAGTGATCGTTATCTCAGATCGGATGATGATCTCGATTCCAAAGACCTTGAGGCGATAGAGAGATAACATGGGGACGATTAGTATCTTTTTCAGTCTTTTTGGTGGATAGACTACTTATTAGGACTCGTTATATTTTGTATTTTTCAAATGTTGTAAATGAGTCCTAATATATTTTGATGAACATTTTGCTAATGTTAACCTCTTGTAAACTCTTTAGAACAATATATATATATATATACCAAAAAATTCTTGGGCAAACATTGCTTCTGAAGAAAAAATAGAAATAAATTTAGCAAGCCTAAATACTCTTGTCCAAACCTTAAACCAGTCCCAGAAAAATATTAATTTTCCTGGAGAAACTAGTAAAGCAATTACTCAACCCAAACAAAATACCCTAGTCCGAAAACAGAGAAGTATTTGAGATCAGCCTAAATTCATGAATAAGGATTACATCTTTTCTTAAAATATTCAAATCCTTCTTTGACTTGTAGAGGAAGAATTGATTCTATTGGTCCAAAATAGTCCTACCAATGGAAGAACTAATTTGGAAAAGTATAATTCTTGTAATTCTGGCTCTTCTGGAAGTAGACTAACCAAGAATGTCATGTTGAATTTATTTTGCTGCCAAAAAACTTTAGTCCAAGCATCCATATAATCCCAGGAGACACCCTTTCATTAAGCAATTTTAGAGAATTTTAGAGAGAGAAGTTCTGAGAGATACAATCCCTTGTAAGCTTTTATTTCAAAAGTTTTAATAAATCTTGTTTTTTGTATATTTTTCTCTCTTCTTCCTTTTGACCTGCTTCTGTTCGGATTATCGTCGTTCAACTTTCTTCCCTTTTTTCTTCAATAGATCTATGCTGGTTCTATTGCCATTCTAGTTTCTTATGTTTTAAATTATTGCTTTTACATTTTTTATTTTTGCATTACATTTAATAGTCCTGCTACTGCCTACTTTTCTTTCAGTCTTTATTTTTTTTCCTTGAATCACTAAGGATTCTCTAGCAATTTAATATATATATATATATATATATATATATATATATTATTTTAAATTTCCTTTTTAATTTGTTTATTGCTATTTTTTGTTATTTAAATTTTATGAGTTGATTAAAATATTATTAGATGTTTCAAAATTTTTACACACTGTATTTAACTTGCAATAAGTTTAATCTAAATATTCCTTCCTAAACTTTAAAATTATTTTCTTACCATATCAACGTCATCATCACTGTTATGGCAATTTCCTCTTTCATTCGAGCTCTACTTTCACCACTACGTTTACCTCAACTAGCTCATTGTTAGCCTTGACGTCCAAATAACTCTCAACGGGACAAATTTTTGAGTATTCAAGTTATCCAATTAAAATTACTCGTTTAATTCGTTCACCATCTTAACTGAGACTCGTCCAATCTAACAAAAATAAATCAAATTATACCGAAATCAATTTACTTCAATTTGAAGTGTTTGTGTTCAAAATCGACCGGTGAGTATATGTATTTTGACTCTGTATCTATTATGCGAATCCGTGCACGCATAGAATTTACCAGTTTTTGTGTATGGTAATTGGCAAAAGTCAAACTTGGTTCATAGGTTGGGCCAAATACATACACTTGACCCACTATACACAAAATTTGGTGCATTGTAGAGTTGGAGTTAGCATTTGGTTAGCTTACATAATCAATTCACATTTCGACGTTGGAGTACAACCCAATTTAATTAATGAGATAGGGATACCTGATCGAAATCCTCCAATTAACCTATACATACACGTATGTATGTTATGTGTGTATTTTGCTTTAGCTTAATTATATTTTTAGTTTTTATATTTTTATTTATGTATAATTTTGATTTTCCCTAATTTTAAATTTTATTTAATAGTTAATAATAATATAATAAATATGTAATATATATATATATATATATGGGCATATAAGTAAAATTAAGAGGGTTTGCTTTGATTAAAATTTAATGAAATAGAGTGAACGGTTTAAATACATCTTGAAAATTATATTTAAACAAGAATACTTAATTATTATAAAAATAAAAATAATATTAAAATTTATTTAAGTTACCATAAATAAAAATATTTTTTTAAATAATCGTATAATTATTAATTAATCTTTATTTTAACTATAAATTTAATATTTTTATACTTTAAAATAATAACTACTATTTTTCTACATATAAAGTGTCGGTGGATATTCTTAATTGTTTTGTTAAGTTTGATTTAAAACAAATATTATATTTTGTGGCATGTGTATATTCCTAATCTTTATATTTTTATACTTTGCAAAAGAAGAGGAAAAAGAATTGTCTATCCCCACAAAACTTTCATGATCGAGTCACCTAATCACAATTAAATTTCGGTTACAATGTCACCAAATGTGATGACGTCTAAGAAGGGAAGGAAGAAGAACTTAAAATACAAAAAAAAAACAGTCTAATTAGACAATGTTCTCTTCATATTTTACCGAACCAAATCCATTGAAATTATGATAAGGCCTTATCCCCTAATGGAAAACTCTCTAACCAACTAAACAGGTCAAACAAATGCACATAGCTTGTCACCAATTGAATGATAGTTGCACTTGAATTCAAGAACCACCCATCTTCTCCCTTATTGGCCCTCCAAGTCAGATTAGAGCACGACTCTCATCACATCACATCCATTCACAATGCCACGTCTGCATTCATCTGATGGTCATGATTTGTTGTATTCATTTACTGGTGGGGTCCCTTTTTCTAATAATTGTTGGTAGGAGTACAAGTTAAACAATTTTTATGTGCCTTTTTATTTTGCAAGCCACGTTCACCTCTTATACCACGTGAAAAGCGAAGTGTAAAAAAGAGTCACAAAATTGTTGCTTTACAACGGCCTTCATTCTACATCATGAAATGTGAGATTAAATTCTATTTTCTTTGTGAAGGTGTTGATTTAATTTTATTTGGGAACTCATGTGTTGAGTTGTACTCAATTTTAAAAAATTGACACTTGAATCTGAAGGCTAAACGGGGTCAAAATTAAATGATTCAATTTGTCATGATTTAATTATACTAGTTGGTTGGCCATGTGACATTTTTAATAAGTATGTATATAATTTAATAATTAAAGATAAAAAATATATACCGTAAAGAAATTAAAACTTTATATTTTATTAAATAAAATAATAATATAATAATATGTTCTGATGATAAGATTATTAAAATTAAGACATCGTCTATATTAACGTGATATATCCAACTTTCCAATTTAAAACTAAATTACATTTCAACGAAGATAATAATTTTAAAATTCATTTTATGTACTAAAGAAATTTTATTTTAATATTACCTTATTAGTTGGTCATACAAAAAATTGAGTAAATCTTGTGACACCTATTGAACCTTTTTTTTAAAAATTAATTTTGCATAAAAATATTGAAAGTTAGATTTTTTTTATTTTTTTACTTAACTCTGAAGCATGGGTATTATTTACTAAACAAACAATTTATTTTAAAATCATAATAATTTTAAAACTTAATTTGTTTTAAAAAAATATCTGTACCTTATGGCGTTAAAGAAACTCTTAATCAAAATAAACATAATCAAACATTTTATTATATTTAATAATATGCTAAAGAAATAAAAAAAAATTATAAGAGAAATGTTATATCTGAATTTAAGATCAAATTAAAAGAAATATTTGCTAAAATAAAAGATAAACTTATAAAAACACGTGCATTTTAGAATTACTTAATAATAATAAAATAGTTAAATTTTAGTATCAATATAGATAAAATTTTAAGAGAATCTAATAAAAATAAATTAATCCAAAAGAAACCCAATAATCAAGAACCTGCATAAAATAACTAATTTACAACAGCCTTCATTCTATATAATGAAGGTGAGATTAAATTCTATTTTTCTTTGTCAAGGTGTTGTTTTAATTTTAATTTTTTAAAAAAAGACAATTGAATCAAAAGGATAAGGGGGACCAAAATTGAATAATTCAATTTGTCATAATTTAAATATATTACTTGGACTTGCAAAAGAGGATTCTAGCCAGCAATAATATATGCTACTGAATAATGTGGATTTTAAGTAAGGAGGCATTTCATAATCAAGACAAAGACCAAAAGCCTGTCATACCAAATCACTTATTGCTAAATGCTAATAAATCAAGTCAGTGACGCCATGGAAAAGGTGATATGCCTATGCCCTCTTAAAAACCTAAACTGGTGGGGATTTGCAGAGCACACAAATAGTGAAAAAAAGATCTCTATGGAAAATTAAGAAAGTTTGAAAGCCATAAACAATTCCACCTTGCTAGTAGGAGTTAGTTTATTTTTGTTGGCCTATCCATTCCTTCAAAGCACCAACCTTTTGAACTCTCCAACCTACTGTTCCAAATATCAATAACAAACCCAAAAGAAAAACCTGGGACAAAAAAGGAAACAAAAGCCAACATCTCATACACCTTTGTGTAATAGAGTCCCATTTGTTAGAATTAAGAAGCCACTCAATTCATCACTTTCTCCCTTTCCCTCAACCAGCAAGAAACGAGAGAGAGAGAGAGAGAGAGAGAGAGAGTGATCGATTCCAATGGAAGTTTCATGCAAAATTTTGAGAAGATCGATTCACAGTTTTCTTCAGAACTACCATTATTTCACCTCAACTGCAGCTTTTCTAGCCTTCCCTTTCTCTGCATCAATACTCCTATCACAAGCTCTGGTTCCAGCCTCTTCAACCCTTTTGTCCCAAATACACAGTCACCTAAGGACCCTCTTTGATGCTGCAGGCTTTCCCTCTTCATCACAATTGTTCACCATTCTCAACCTTAAGGTTTCTCAAACAATCACATCCTCAATCTTCACCCTTCCTTTCACTCTCACCTTTCTCCTCTTTTCAAAAGCATCAATAATTCAAGCTCTAAATCATCATAAACCAACTTTGCCACCTTCCTTCACTTGCATCATATTCCATTACAAATCCCTCTTCCACACCTATGTCTACAACTCTTTCTTCATTCTCTCAGCAAATGCATCTTCCTTTTGCCTTTTCTTTCTGGCCTTCACCTTTGCTGAAGGACTAGGATTCTCTTCACCAAGTTTCACACTTTTCATGTCAGTTTCAGCTGTAGTTCTTTTTTCTGTGATCCTTGGCAATGCACTTGTGATATGCAACATGGCTTTGACTCTATCTGGCATGGAGGGTCATGGTGGGTACCTGGCAATTCTTAAGGCCTGTGTTCTTCTTAGGGGAAGGACATCAATGGCTTTGTTTCTAGCACTGCCTTTCAATGCATGCCTTGCTGCTGTAGAGGCTTTGTTCCAGTTCAGGGTTGTGAGGGCATATCACATTGGTGGAAACTCATCATCATGGCCTTTTATAGCTTTGGAGGGCATTTTCATTGCTTACTTGTACTCAGTTTTCATCACCATTGACACAATTGTGAGCTGCATGTTTTACAAAAGCTGCAAGATGGGGTTGTCGAATGATCAGAAAGGCAAGCATTTTTTGAGGATTGAATTCCCAGAGGAGGACAATTATGGTCATTTGGCATTCAAGAATTTTGAAGAACTGCCATAATAAGTAATATAAGGTAGCAGCATATTCTTGCTATCAATTTGGTCAAGGCTATTCTTCAAATTGTTCACAGATTTAAACTACCTAGGATGAATTTGAAATATTCATTCTCGAACCAAATGGAGCAAATTTCAAGGGCATAAAGGTTTCTAAAAGAGGAACCTCTTCTCAGCCATGTGCAAAAAAAGAAGCTAGAGATTGATTCATCATTTTATTTTAATGTCTTTTTGTTTACATGTTTAATGTCTGCTTCTTTTTATTCCATCTCTGTCTTGTATACTGATTGGTAATCTTTTGCCATGTGAATAATACAAAAGGCTTCTTTTTATTCCATTTCTATCTTGATATTATAGAAAAAAGGGCCACACAATTTCTCATATGTGATTGTTATTGTTTCCTTTTAGTAAATCTAGAAACTGCTGCCATCACAAGTTCTTTCAGAATCCCGTAAAAGACAAATTAGAGGCATCAATGTGGTCCCCATGAAGAATATGTTCATTTTGCCTTAGCTCATGTCCCTTAATCTCTTTCCAAATGTATGTAACCATTTAAGCATCTAAACCAATGAATCATGCGGTGTTGATATTAGTATGTTATGATATGATCCGAATATTATTGAATTGAAACAAACTCGGAGCTGTCCTGATATGTGGACTCTAAACATGGAAACCATATTAATTGAAGAAAAAGCTGAATACTACTGTAATGTACAATTGGAATTTAGTGTTTTGAAACCACACTTGTAGAATATTTCTACTGGTTTAGCAGCTTTTAGAGATTACAACGTTCAGAAACAATGGAAATGCAAATGCTCTTGGAATATTCTGTACCGAAACAAGGATCCGTGAATTCATCTAATGTGGCAAACCTTGATGTAAGGGAAAACATGTAAATTGACAGCAAACAAGTTAATACTTACCATCCCAACTTTTCATCTCCACGGCCACAATTAGAAACCAAAAAAAATGAGTGGAAGTCAATTCTAGGAATGGAATGTAAACATAATTCAGCAAATGTAATTTGACAAAAACTCAGTCTGGACAAATCTCTTACTAAGTATTTAAAAGAGAGTGACATAAAAAGGTCAAATGAATCAAATTTCTCTCAAAAGTTAAAATCGAGTCATAAATCTCAGCTTCTGGAGAAATTAGATGAGATTTAAAAAAAAAAAGTGAAGTGTTGATTTTAACTTACGGAAAAAAGTTTTAATCATTTTAGCTTTTTCATTTTCTATTCTTATAAGTATTTACAGGTCCCGTACGAGACAAAACTTAGATTTGATGACTCTGGCGGTGCCTGTTGTACTATAGTAACTGGAGCAAACAATAATGAATATTGAATGACCACACCAAATGAAATATGACAAATTTGAGTTATAGATGGAAAATGTCTCTCAGAAGATGCAATTAGTGAGGTGCCTCCCAGACACAGTACCATGAAATAGATATACTGAGAGAATTTGCTAAGTGTCTTTCCACAACCGAAATCAATGCACAATGGCAATGCACATAGTTCAGGGTGTTATGTTCATAAGCTGGCCTGGAACAATTGAATGAAACAACAAGGTTCTACAGTTCACTAGTGTGTACATTTCACAAATGAATATAGCATTCTTTCTTGCCCTGCTCTTCACTTATTTTACAGTTACAGTACAGAGACCTGATTTCTAATTATTTTCTTAACCTGACATCTATGCAGCATGCTCTTGGGAGTATCCTACTAAAATCTCTATTAAAAGGAGAAAAAAAAAAGAATAATCTAATTTCTATCTAGCGTGAGAAAAAATAGAAATAGTAACTGCTTTTTGAGTCTAACGGCTTGTCCTGCCTTATAATGGGCACCGTCCCCTCTCCTGAATTCTTTGTAACCACAAAAGAGAAAAAGAATTGGATTCAGTAGAAGAGGGATAGAACTTTTACAAAGTTTCATGGGACTACTTTTGGACTTTGGTGCTTCACATCCAAAAGTAATAGGAAAAATGTGCCAAATGAATGACAAAAACCAAAGCAAGCTCTACTACAATAGAAGCATGGTCTATTTCAAAATTTCATTTTAAATGGAAGCACCATCTCCATTATCTTTATAGCATTCACTGGATGCAGATGATTCTCGAATGATCAAGATAAGCATCGATGCTGGATCTAAATTTGGCCTTTCCAAAGTATTCTTCCATGATAGATCAACCAAATTCTGATTCAACATGCTATCAATGAATCAACTCCTAAGCCTTAATACGTTCAAAGGTCTCCGGGTGGCAGAAATCTGCCATTCCACTTCATTAGAGTACCGGGAAATTTTATAATTCATTTAGATTTGGAATCATTCAAATTGTTTTAATAACTTCATTCATTATTATAAGTTTTTTTTTAATTATTCTTATTATCACCTAATGATAATGTTACGTATATATAATTTTGGCACCTCGTTTACTATCTAAATAATTAACTATGTTAAGCAATGTTAAGCGATGATTGATGTTATTTTAAAAATATAATTATTTAAAAGTGATCAAAATTAAACAAAATAATATTTATAAAAATAAAAATAATCTAATGTAAAATAGAATAATGTCAATATTAAGAATAAAAATCCATTCACTAAAACATAATTTAAAATACATAGTTATTGAATGATCTATAAGTAATTTTGTAAGCATTCTTTAAACCTTAAAGCATATCTTGATCTTGATCATGACTGGGTAAGGGTTAATTAGATTTGGGTGAATCAACTCAAAAACCTTAGAATTAAAACAATCCAATCTTTGATAGGATTTGGGTGGGTTAACTCAAAAAACTTAGAATTGAAACAATCCAATCTTTGATAGGACTTTCTTCCATCTGAATAACCTCTTAGGTTGAGTGTGTGGCAAGTTGGATGGGCAATGAGTTAGTCATCCAATGAGTTAGTTATCTAGATTAAGGTGAGTTTACGCTAAATATTAAGTTGAATTAACTTTTGATCCTCATCCAAAAATAGATTTTACCAACAAAGCCAAAGATGAGTATTGGTAATAAAAATAAAGATACACAAAGGGATGGAAAAAGCAAGGTACACTGAGAAAGAGATGAATATCATTGGAAGATGAGGAAGTGTTAGAGACAAATGCACCATAAGAGACAATCATGATCAAAGATGAAGCTTTATTGGCAACACAGAGATGATGCAGTGTCAAAGATGATTACCGTTAGAGATGAACCATGTCAAAGGCATCATCAAGTAAGTGAGAGTGATATGGAGTTCATACATAAGCTGGATTAGTTGGAATAAGAGCTTAGAAGAGTGTTAGTTAGTTTTACAAAGTTAGTTATTACTTATGGAGAAGTAGTTTAAGACTTTCCATAAGTTGGTTGTTAGTTACAACTATAAATATAAGTTCTTCATTTATTTGAAATATCATATCACAATCATTATAATTCCTCTCGGTGTCTCCTTTTTTAATTCAATAAATCATTTAGAGTCTTTTCTCTTCACCAAGATTCCTTATTTTCTCTATAGTTCTTCAGTTTCTCGCATTCCCTAGACTATTTCTTCCCTATCAATTGGTATCATCGAGCCTGTCCTTTCTTACACGAGCTCACTTCCATGGCAGAAAACATAAGAACTTAGGCAATGATGACAAATGTGGAAGACCATGTTGCATCACATATGGAAAAGTGGTTGATGGAGCTAACTAGAAACATTCAGAAAGCGTTGGGTGAATCTTTGAAAGAAACTGTTCAAGAAATGCTTCAAACTTCATATGATTGTGATGATTATTGATGAAAAGACTGTCGCTGGTCTTTATCAAAATATAAGTGAACTAAATGTGTACTAGACTAAGCTAACTTAGCTCATCTCCTATGAATCATTGGATGAGTGACCAAATATCAAACATGTAGTGTGCATTGTACTCTAAAAACAAGGGGTGTTTGGTTGTGGTTTAAAGTCCTTAGTTATTCAAAATAGAAGTACAAAATTAAGAAAATCAATCAACAAAATAGATTAACCCTTAGTTTATTCACAATAGGTTCCATCATTAGCTACTCAAGACTTAGATACTAGTTTCCTCACAAATTTGAATTAATTGGAACAAGCGTTAATTAACTCTTAAATTTTCATGCAAGATTAAGCAAATTATATGAACTCATCCCTGATTCTTGGTATTAAGCAAACCTAAAACTTAATTTAGAATTAAGCAAATTGAACTATGAAACTTGTGTTAAGAAAGGAACTTGGATTGAATTAAGCAAACAATCCCCATTCAATTTCTAACCTAGTTTTTAAGAGATTAGGGAAAATAAAATTCAAACAAAGGGAAATTCGTATCAACAATTAAACCCTAGCTTCAAGAATCCATTATGAACTACACCAAGGATTAACCCTCAAAACTTAGCCTTCCATCAAGGTTGGATTCAACATTACAAGCATTTAATGTATAGAAAACTAGAAAAACAGTGAGAAAGGGAAAAGAAATGGAAACTCTAAAGTGGGGTTCTTGGGCAGCCACCTAGAACTCCTACCCTAATCCTATAAAAGTGTAGAAATAAAAAATTATAAGAAATGGAAAAAAGATCAAAAGGTCCCTCCTCTTCTAATTGAAAATCTATTTATAGTAAATTTAATGCCTTCCTAGAGTAATCACTTTGAATTGTGAAAGTAATTACACATAAAACTTCCTGCAGTGCTATCTTGACTAAAGTGATTACAATTAGTTCTAAGAGTAAACACGCACAGCTTCATCAAAAAAATATGATTGCGCGTGTTTACTATCAATGGTTAAAGTAAACAAGCGCAACTTCGTCTTTTGGAAATGGCTCTGGAGTGTTCACTATCAATGGTGAAAGTGATTACTTCCACTTGGCCTTTGGAGGATGCTTGTTGGAATAGTTACTTTGGGAGCTAAAAGTATTACTTCCACCCAATTTTCTCATAAAAGCTCAAATCCCATGGACTAATTGCCCAAAAATTCCTACACAATTATTCTAATTAGAAAAATTACAAAAGATAATTGTAAAACTTATGTAAATTGAACTAAATTAAGAAAATTGAAATTAATAACAATTGACATTTTTTATGTTATTTACATTTTCTAACTTTAATTTTCTATTAAAAATCTATTGAAAAGATAACTAAAATATTAACAAAATGTGGATTCATCAATTATTATACTTCTTATTTTGGAAATGCATTCAGAG